GAGGAGCTTTAAGTCAGCCCTCCACCCCGTGGGGATCTGTGGCCTGCCACATCTAGGGTGCTGTTCCCAGACGACCTGTCGTGTCTGGGGTGAGGAGGGTTCATGAAATGAGACAAAGCCTGTTGGCAGCCTGCCTCATCCTTCTGAAACGCTTGGTGCGCCAGGGTCCTGAGGTGGGTGCCCACTTGGCAGAGTCCCTCCTAAGTGCCTTCTTTCCGTCCAGCTGAAAGAGCTGTACACCCTCCTGAATGAGAACTACGTGGAAGATGATGACAACATGTTCCGATTTGATTACTCCCCAGAATTTCTTTTGTGGTGAGTCCTGGGCTTCCTGAGAGCAAGGCGGTGAGTGGCACAGCCACAGGGCACCGGAGTCTCCATGCCTGCCAAGAGCCAGGCGCTGAATGGCAAACTGGAATGCGAGTGCCGAGGAGGAGACAGGCTGCAGGGAAGCTTAGAAGCGAAATCTTGCTTCGACAGAATGGCGGCAGACCTTTGCCGAGCGGGTGCCCAGACGAAGACCATCTATTACATGGTGGCTTTATGTAAAGGGGATGGGGGTCAGACCTCCTACAGTTTAAAAGACAGGCAGGGTCATTTTCTGTCCCCTTCCTGAAAGGGACCCTGCCTCGGCCACTGTCAATCTGCCGGAAAGTAGCAGCATGAAGGCCAAGCTGGTGGGAACTGCCTGAAGGGGAGTGAGCCAGAATGAGCAGCACCAGGAGGGGCTGGTGGGCAGCCAGAGCTCTGGGGGCTGCATGGGGTACCACCATGAGGCTACCCTTCTGCTAACTTGGTTTCCGCTGCCTGCTAAAATGAGATGGGTGGGGAAACCCCTCCACACAGGACCCTCAGATTGGGCGAGAGAGGAGGCAGGTGCGCTGAGTAGAGGAAAGGGCCCAGGCTTAGTCCAGCTTGTGCCCTGGCGGGCCTGGTCCCCAGGATAGTTCAGCTGTTGGCTCCCAGGAGCTGGTGGCTGTGGAGCCCCAATGGCAGCCCGGCCCTGCTGGCCAGCAGCACCCCCTCAGCCCCCATCTCTTCTCCAGGGCCCTCCGGCCACCGGGCTGGCTTCCCCAGTGGCACTGTGGCGTTCGAGTGGTCTCAAGCCGAAAGTTGGTTGGGTTCATCAGCGCCATCCCAGCAAACATCCACATCTATGACACGTAAGCGCCAGCCCCCCCAGCCCCAGTGAACCCCAGTGAAGAGAGGGGAGGCCCCCTGAAGGGAGGCTAGGAATTCCTGGGCAGCATGCAGCTCCTGTCTGACCTGGGCAGGAAAGGGCCAAGCTGGAGGGGCTCCTTTGTCTGCTCTGCTCCAGCCCCTGCTGAGACACTGCAGCTGCAGAAGCCAGGCTGGAACCAGTGCGGCCCAGATTCACAGTCACTGCAGCTCTCCATCTCTGCTGGCTCATCCTTCTTCTGGGAAATAGCAGGACTGTCTGCCAAGGCTTCTGGGGTTTACGGGCCGTGGGGTCTGAGACTGTCAGAACCCCAAAACCAGGGGCTCTCGCCAAGCGCACTCAGTTCCAGCCTCTTAAAGATGCGGCGCCCTCTCGGCCCTCTGGGGAATGGGGCGCCTGCTCGAGGTGCACAACTCCTGCTAGAGCCCCTTGGAGGGGTGGGGGGTGTGTCAGGCGGGTGGGTTACCTGCTCCTCCTCCTCCAGGGAGAAGAAGATGGTGGAGATTAACTTCCTGTGTGTCCACAAGAAGCTGCGCTCCAAAAGGGTGGCTCCTGTCCTGATCCGAGAGATTACCCGACGGGTTCATCTGGAGGGCATTTTCCAAGCTGTGTACACGGCCGGGGTGGTACTCCCGAAGCCTGTGGGCACCTGCAGGTAGAAAGCTGCCACCACCCTCAATGGGAGTCAGCGGGGAACTTGGAGGGGAGAGGGGGGCTCCGGGAAGGGGCCCTGAAAAGTGAGCACCTCTCAGCCCTGCTGCCCACTGTCATGCACACTTGGGGTCCATCAGCCGGGGGCTGGTTGGTGTTGAGGCGGAGCTGGCTAGTCTGGAATTGGGGGAGAAATGTCCAGTTTGGGTCCTGGTTGGGTCCCTTTTGTTGTGAATAGTGTGTGAGTCAAAAAGGGCATGTCTGATCCCTGGGCAGCCTCCCTCTGCCTGGAGGGAAGGTGTTTGGGGCAAGGGAGTAATGGCTACCTAAAGAGCCTTCAAAGGGAGACCTCCGGGGAAATGCACAGGAACGCTGCGACTGCCCCTTGGCACCTTGACTCGCTGTGAGATTGCGCACCCCAGACCAAGTGGCTTTTGAAATTGAGAAAGAAAATAGGGATCTTGGTGAGCAGGCAGGGGCGCCACCTGCCGGCCACCATGAGGTAGGTCTCCATGGCCTGCACCCTCTGAGAACTGGGCCTTTGTGTCCCCACAGGTACTGGCACAGGTCCCTAAACCCTCGGAAGCTGATTGAAGTCAAGTTTTCCCACCTGAGCAGAAACATGACCATGCAGCGCACCATGAAGCTCTACCGGCTGCCAGAGGCCAGTGGCGCTGCACGGGATTGGGATGGGGGGGGGGGGTCAGCTCGCTGAGCCGACATGTTGGTGTGCCTGGAGTCCTGGACGTGCCATTTCTGCCCTGTTGGGTGCTGATGGCCAGTCTCCGAGTCCTGTTAACTCCCACTCCTAAGATCCTCTCGCTCGCCACCATCAAGTCGAGGCCCACTCCCAGCCGCCCCGTAGAACAGGTGGAGCTGGCCCAGTGGGGTTCCAGAACGGTAACTGTTCACCGGAGTAGAAAACTCCCATCTTTCTCCAGAGGAGCAGCTGGTGCTTTCGAACTGCTGACCTTGCGGTTAGCATCCCAGTGGGCAGCCACCCTGCCACCAGGGCTTCTGTAATGGCCCTGTAAGAAAGAGAGGGTAGAACTGCCCGCAGGGTTCCACGGCTGCAGTCTTTGTGGCCTCAGATGGCCACACCTTTCTGCTGTGGAGCAGCTGGTGGGTTTGAACTGCTGGCTTCAGTTAGCAGCCGAGCACTTGAACCACAGCGTCCCCTGGACTTACCCTCTCTGACTCAGGGTTTGCTTTAGCTGACGCTCATCGGGGTCTGCCACTGGGCCAGCTTCCCCCATCTGTTGGTGAGCTTGAGGAAAGACTGCTCGCGTATTGTTGCCCCGAGTGTGGCGAACCAGAAGGATGGGGCCGCCCTGGGCTCGCTTCTCTTGCACCACGAGCCAGAGCCTGGTGGCAGGGCATCGGGAGCCTGCCTGCCTCCGCCTGCTGGGAGTCAGTCCCATGCTCTAACCGACCCCTAGCTCCCCCCGAAGGAAGCTCATGCATCTGGAGCCCCTCCTTGCTCCCTCACTCCATCTCGGAGCTTCTCTGGTCCGTGGTCAGCCAGCCCTCAACTGCTCACGTGGGCCCCTTGGCCACCAGCCTGGATCCCTCACCCAGGGCCCCAGCTAATCTGCCACAGGATTGGGGTCAGGAGCAGCCCAGCTTGAGACGGCTGTGAATACTCTGCCAAGAAGCAGGGATTGGGGTCGTGTGTGCCTTGAACCTGGCAAGCAGCTCTGCCTGGGGGCCACGCCGGGTGCTGGCCAGAGGGTGGGCACAGAGCGTTCTAGGAGGGCTGAGCCAGAAGAATGCCCTGGCTGTCTGGTGAGGGTGGGACCCGGCACACTGCTCTGCAGCCTGGGGTGTAGAAGCACGGTGGAGTCGGGGTTGACGAGGCATTTGGGAGGCACCAGTGCCAGGTGAACCAGATGGGGACTAAAGCTGTGTCAGCTGGTAGCTCCACACTCATTTGAGAATCGGCAGCCCCCCCTGCATGGGTCTGAGGCTCTGGGGAGGCTCTGCCAGCCCCAGCACTTGCTCCCTTAGAACACTTGGCCTGATCCATGGGATTTTTTCTTTCCTGTAGAAAACTGGGTTCTGGTTTGAGATGAAGCCGGTGGGTGTTCCTTGCTTTTCTTCTGAGTGTGACTTGCAGTGCCCACTAGGGGGCATTGCTGTCTCCGCGGTGTCTGACCAGGCCCTGTCCCGAGAGGCGAGGAGCTGCTCAGCTCAGTGAGGCAGAGGGATGGGGGTGAGGGAGTGGAGTAGCTCTGTGCTGGCAGAAGAAGGTGGGTGCCCACTGCTATTTAGGGCATTCTGTGTTGTCAGGACTGTCCTGCGCAGTGTAGAATGTTTAGTAGGGGCTCTGGCTTCTGCCCACTAGATAGCAACATACCTCCTCCCAGTTGTGATAGCCAAAGATGTCCGGACCTTGTTAAATGTCCCTTGAAGGGGAAAAAATGTCCCCACTCCTGAGAGCCACCCGTGAGAGGAATGAGGCCCAGCCAGGACAGCCCACTAACCTGGTGTGCACTTGGGAGCGTAGACCTACCAGCGCGGGCAGGGTGGGTGTGCTTTCTTAGAAAGCCAGGCAGAGGTCACTTGAAGAAGAGGTCACTGTCGCAGCCTTCATGGAAGGGGGAGCGTGTGTGTGTGTGTGTGTGTGTGTGTGTGTGTGTGTGTGTGTGTGTGGAAAGACCACTGAGGCAGGGCTGGTGCCTGAGACCAGTTAGTTGACGGAGGGGGGTGTCCAAGAAGGACTTCTACCCCTGCTCTCCTGGAAGCTCTCCCGACAGTGGGCAGGTGGGAGACCATGCCCTGACTGTGCTCAGCATGTCTGAGGTGGGCTTTATTCCTTCCTTCCTACCTACCTTCAGGTGCCCAAGACAGCTGGCTTGCGAGCCATGGGGAAGAAGGACGTCCCGGCAGTGCACCGGCTCCTCACCAGGTACTTGGAGCAGTTCCACCTCACGCCGGTCATGAGCCAGGAGGAGGTGGAGCACTGGTTCTCCCCGCAGGAGAACATCATCGACACCTTTGTGGTGGAGGTGAGTGGTTAGGCACCGTGGCGGCCGAGTCTGAAGAATTGATGTGGGGGGCGGGGGGGGGGGGCATCCATGCTTGTCCTCCTCAGAGACAGGCTGAGCCGGTCACTTTCAAACCAACCCTCCCTCCCCCTCTTGGTGGTGATGAGTGGAGAGAACTGAGCCCCTTGTCTTAAGTCAGACCACCTTTGGCTCCCGCCTGCCCCGGCTTGGTTTGGAGCTGAGCCAACCTGGGAGAAGGTGAATGGCGTCCAGGCCAAGGAAGAGCTCGATGGGCTCAGCTCACAGGCCAGCCAGGGTCAGCCAGGGTCTCCCTCCTGGCTCTGTCCTCCAGTACCCTTGGCCTATGTGCTTTCTCTCTCCCCCCTGAAGATCCTGTACAGTGCTCATCCGAGGCAGCACTGGCTGGGGGTGGTGTGTGTGTGTGTGTGTGTACACACACCGTGAGGTGCTCGAGGGTGACAGTGCTTCCCCATGTTGTCTCTCTCTCAGAACGCCAATGGTGAGGTGACGGACTTCCTCAGCTTTTATACCCTGCCCTCCACCATCATGAACCATCCGACCCACAAGAGCCTAAAAGCTGCTTATTCTTTCTACAATGTCCACACCCAGACCCCTCTTCTAGACCTCATGAGCGACGCCCTTGTTCTCGCCAAAATGGTGAGCAGCACCCTGGAGTATCTCCCTCCAGAGACTGGTGGGGCAGGGCCGTGGAGTGTGGGGGCACAGTGCCCAGGAGGTGGCAGCCTGCTGGCTGGGAGGCTCTGCTGTGGTAGAGTCCCAGACCTCGAACCTCTGCTCGGTCAGTGAGTTTCGTTCTCCCAGGAGGTGCTGCCCGGGAGCCTGAAGAGCCAGACTGCTCTGGGCGTACAGAGCTGTTCCTTATGGCTCCCGGTGTCGGGCTGGGGGGGTTGATCTCTGTTCAGTGAGTCATCGGAGCATCTGCCCGTAGAGCAGGGGCTCAGGCAGCTGTTCCCCAGAGAGACCATTGGCAGTCCTTTAGCTCGTGGTCCTGTGTGGGCATTGGTCTCCCTGTCTCCGTGAGGCTAAGCAAGGGCCTGCATCACCGTCTCAGAGCAAGGTGTCTCGGGGCATTCACTTCGTGGTGCAGGGGAGGGCCACCATGGAGGTGGGATCTCTCTCGGGGATGTTGTCGAGCAGCAGTGGGAGCCTGCCTCTAGGCTGGGGGTGTGGTCTCCAGAGAGGACTGCGGGGGTGGGGTGGGGGGTGGGGGGCGTGTCCCTGCCATGTCAGGGAGCCTGAATAAGATTAGTGTGTGCTTGGAGGGATGCTGCTTGCTGCGTGGGGCCAGGCTGGCGGGAGAGTGTGAACTGCAGGTCTGAGTGCCGGCAGGATTGTGCTGCTTCTGAAAGGCACTGTCTTGGGGCCGCCTCTGGAAAGGTGAATGTAGTTGAAAGGGCTTTGAACCAGAACACACCAAGATGTGTGAGATATAGGTGCACCGGAAGGATAGCTAGAATGGGACGTGATGGGTGGAAGCCTTGGATGGGAGACTCAGAAGAGGCCTCGGGAGCCCTCTCGAGAGCCCTCTCGAGAGCCTGATGCAGGGGACTGGATTATTGCTCGGCTGTGGAGAGCAGCACACCTTCCCAGAGGTGCTGCTGGCTGCCCACTTTGAATGGGGCACCAGTGTTTCCGAGCCCATTGGTTGCTGTGAGCATGCCCACTGCCCTTGTTTCCCAGGGGAGAGTACACGTCTAGCGGAATCTTGGCCCACCGTTCTCCCTTTCTGGTCCTCTTCCACTTTACCACTCTGGGGCCACCTGGTTTTGCCTGGGCGGCCCTGACAGCAGCACCGGGAGAGCCAGTGTGAAGTCCTGAGCTGCAGCAGGCAGGGCCAGGGCTGCAGCCGTCCTCATGCGGTCTCTCTCCCGGGCCGGCAGAAGGGCTTTGACGTCTTCAATGCGCTGGATCTCATGGAGAACAAAGCCTTCCTGGAGAAGCTCAAGTTCGGCATCGGGGACGGCAACCTGCAGTATTACCTTTACAACTGGAAGTGCCCCAGCATGGGGGCAGAGAAGGTAGGTGCCCCTGCCTGCCATGGACAAGGAGTTGGCGTCCCCAGCACCTGGGGCCACCTATGTGGGGAGGAAACCACTTCAGTGGGGCCTGACTGAGTGGTGTTGGGGCCTATGAAAGTTCCCGCCCGACAGCCCAGCCAGTGGAGTGGCCTTTCCCTTCCAGTAGCTGCTGCGGGCCATCTGAGGAAACGTTGACCGGAAGCCCTGAGCCCGAGGACCAGTGTGGGGCCTCTCCTCTGTTGGGGCTCCGGTCCTCTATTCAGTGCCAGGCCTGCATCGCTCGGCCGCTCGCCTGCGAGCAGCCCCGGACTTGGCTGCCTTTCTGGGAAGGGTCTTGTAGACACAGACGTTGGTGTGCAGGCTGGGCAAGATGGCCCTGGACTGGCGGGAGCTGCTCCCAGCGTGGCTGTGTGGCTTAGTCCAGGACTTGAGGACGTGGGCAGGGCAGGGCATTGGACAACTGCTCTCTCATCTGCCTTCCCCTGTCGACTCTCCTAGGTTGGGCTAGTGCTGCAGTAGCCAGCTGCCCGAGACGTTCTGGATAAAGCCACTGAGAGTTCAAAGCGAGGAATGGAACCCCACTTGTTGGTCCGATTTTCACAACCGTGAGAATCCCTGGCCGAGGGAACAGAACTGCACCGGCTTTACCAACCTGCCACTGAGTCTGACCATTGTATTGCCGTGGCATGGGCGGCATGACGTCACCTCTGGCTGTGCCGCTGGTCTCTCTTGTTTTCCAATTAATCACATCTCCTGCAGCCGCGGTCACGGGAATGTACTGCTGAAAGCTAGCTTGTGATTGGCATATTATGGAGCTAACGGGTGAATAATAAAAGTATATATATATATTATATATATAACTATTTTAAATATCGTTCATGTTCCAAGCGTACAAGGCTACGTGGTCTCTGGTGAGAAGCTGTATGCAGATCATTCCTCACGAGACCCCGAGGACGGCGCCGCCCACACCCGCGCTTGTACAGGAGTGGTTCCCTGCAAGCAGCCCTCGGCTTTTCGGCGGGGAGCAAGAGGAAGAGGAGCCGGGGCATGGCCCCTCAGGATCGCCCGGCATGCTTGGCTCGGCGCAGGAAGGGGCTGGAAGGCTGGGGGAGGGCACCAATCTCTGGAACAGCAGGTGTGGCTGGGGAGGGGCTGGCCCCGCATCAGGGCTGACCGGCCAGGCCTGAACATGCTGCATTTGAGACTGGGGAGCAGGGACAGTCGTGGAAGTGATTTCACTCATGTCCCTCTGCCGACCCCGGGGCTGCTCCCCACCGGCAGTTATCTGCTGGCCAGTGCTGGGGGCTCCTTAGCCAGCCGTCACCAGTCTGCAGGATGAGCGGGTCTCCTCTGAGATTTGGCCTTCCCTCTGTTGGGGGACTGCTGTGAGACCCCAGTCCTATCAGTCCTGCATGCTGAGCTCCTTGAGAGAGCAGAGGCCGCACCCATCCAGGTGTGCTGCGGGACTGTGCCCGGTCTGAGCCTGCCGCCTGTTGAGGGCCCACTAGCCTCTGCCAGTCAGGCCGCAGCCACTGTTGCTCACTGCTGCAGGCCAGTTGGCTCTCCTGGATGTTCTGGGTGACTGGTGGCCTGGGGTGCTGCAACCAGTTTTCCAGGACGTATGAGTGTCCGGACACAGGGCTGTCCACCGAGGTGGTGTTCTGCCGACAGACGAGGGCGGAGTGGCCGCCCCACCTAGGTGTGTGGACCGTTTGCTCTAGGAATACGTGAATGGGGGTTCTGCGGCTTGTAGGGGATGGAGCCTGTCCCGATAATGTAAGCCACCGCGGACACAAGGGTTCATTTTCGGGCCGGGTTGGGGCTGAGGCAGGCCAGAGGTTCACTCAGCAGCCCCCAAAGTTGGAGGGCAGCTCGGGAGGGGGCTGCCTGCCTTGGATGCTGCTCATTGACGAAGCCAGCCATGCTAAGCACAGGCCTCATCACAAGCCTCCAGACCCGTTCCTGGTGCACTTTTGCCTCCTTGACTCCAAGGACCCAGACCAAAGAAGCTGCTGTCCTCAGCAAGGTGCGCTGCCTTCAGTAGGCAGGGAGCTGCGGCGGCCGGGCCTGCGTTCCCTGGCAGAGCCGTTGTCCTAGTGTCTGCCATGGGCAAGTTCCCACCCAAGCTGTGGCCCACCCAGAGACTTGGGGCGTGTGCTTCACCTGAGCAGACCCAGGTCAGGGAGCGGAATCACCGAGGCTCAGGTGGCTGCTTGGGAGAAACACCTGGCAGAGCCCCAGGGGCTCCTGAACCACATGGCCTCCTTGGCCTCTGCTGCGTTTGATGGAGACGTGCAGCCCTCGGCCCCCGGTTTCTCATTCAGCCCCTTTCCTTTCCTGCCCGGCCAAGTACCAACACCTGCAACCCACGGTCTCAGCCCAGGGGGCTCACCAGCGGGTGGTGCGCTGAGAGGAACTGATCGAGGCAAGGACGCGGGGCCTCTGGACGGTCTTCCTGACCGTGGCCTTACTCCATGCCCCCCTGGCTTTCCTGCTGGTCCTGGGCTCCTGGAGCCCGGTCAGGGACAACAGTGTCCTCCCGCCTGGGCACCAGCTGCCTTTGCCCATCACTCCCCCGGCACCTGCCCACCGACTGTGAGCTGGGGGGGGGGGGTGGGGCAGGTGGGTTGCAGGGTGAAGTGTCACACACACCACCCCCTCCCACGCACCTGCTTCCTGGGACGGATGTCTGGTGTGGAGACTAATCCACCTCATGGCCCAATGTGACAGGCCAGTGGGCCTGGCCTGCTCCTACATGCCAACTGCCACCTTCTCGGGGGCACCCTACGGGAGGGCTGTCAGGCCAGGGAAGCAGGACAGGAGTAAGTCTGGTCAGGGCTGACCCAGGAGGGCACCTTCCAGGGACCAGCAGGTGCCACCTCGGGGTAAGGGAGCAGGGAGGCAGTTTCACCTTTTTGTCTTGGCTTTTCTTTGGGCTGTGGGAAGGGCTTTTCTCCCCCGGGGGTGGGGCGGGGCTCATCAAACGCACTGTTCTGCTCAAAACATCCACTTGTTTCTAATAAAGGAAGCAGCTGAAAAAAGCTTTCACCCTCCTGGTCTTCCTCTGCCCGCCCTGAGGGGGAGGGGCCACCAGCTAGGCTCACTGGGCGGGGCACTCATTTCAGGACAAGCTCCCTGCTCTCTGGCCTGCCTCAGCTCGGCCTCTGGGAGAGGGGCTGCGGGGACTGAGTCAGCCTGCGGCAGAGGTCCTGCAGCGTGGGAACCCCCTGGGTGGGCATCCTGGAGAGCTTGGTCCGTTGGCCACCACTAGGCCCCAGCTAACCATTGAAGCAGACCTTGGGCTGGCCAGGCCTCTGCACACCTCTCCTTGCCCCTGCGCATCCTTTCTCGCCCTCCCTGTGGGACCCGCCAGCGCCTGGAGCCCACACCGCCATCCCTGCCCCTGAATTTGGGTTGGAGGGCGAGGCCCACAGGGTGAGGGTGGGGGTTATCCTTGACCTTCCCCTCTCAGCTCAACTTTCCCCCTGACACCTTGCCCCCTATGGGGCAGGTGTCCCAGAGCTGGCCCCCACCCTTCCTCTCCTTCCACCGCAGGCCAGGCTCCCTGGGGGCCCTGGCCAGAGCTGGCCCTGCA